TCATAATTTGATGTTTTCCCTCAAAATGAGGGACCATTGGAGATGGTCTAACAAGGTATACTAGTATGACTATATGAACGCTTTAAACAATTATGGGTACTGAAGGTAACAGTAAACATAAGCGAGTATCCGATATTCATATATTAACAATGCTAAGTAAGATATTTGTGCTTTTTATCTTCATCTTTGTGCTCCCATAGAAGTTATCATCTAGAATTTCTCAGACTTTCGGAGTGACTGATTGGTCGTCAGATGAGTTTGCAACTCTCCTCCTTACAAACCAACTGACAAGACTCATCCTAATGGCTTCAAGCATTAATATTATTGGAAACTTCCTACATTCTTTCAAGACTTTATTTAAAGACCCAGCAATGTCTGTAGTCATGAGGCTGTACCGTCCGCCCATGCAATAAGCCCTTATCCAGTGTGGGAATCCCAAATCAAGCAGATACTTGGCGCAACTGGTGCTGATGCTTTGCAACTCTGTAAAAATCTGGGTACTCCATCATAGTGTAAGCTTTTGCTGCTCGGACCATAAGTGACAACTATTGACTCTCTTTAAACCTTGTTGTTATGTTCCTTGCAAGATGAAATAGACAAGCACCATGCCCGACAAAAGGATATACCTGCAATCAGAAAACAACTAGTAATAGTCAACCACAGACAGTAGTCAACTAATTTTAACTTAACTACTATTACATATAGTTGACTACGCCTAACCTTTCGCAGACCCGAGTAAATGCTTGAGTGTCTGTCTGAAATACACATAACCACCCTGTCATCTGGAATTAATTTTTCAGACATTTAAAAACCATTCATAAGATGCGTCTTTATCGCTGTCTACAATGGCATGAGCAATTGGGAAGATTTGGAAGTTCTCATCTTGAGCAGTGATAACACCGGATTTTACCATTTTTATAGATCACTTTTAATGTCTTATGCAGGTGTTTTAACTCTATTTTCAATTGCTTATAAGTGATTTCTATGTTTTGGAGTTTTAAAGACTTTTCAGGAAACTTGGATTTATGGAGTGCATTTTAGAGCAAAATTAGTTTTTTGAATAAATTCAGGTCGTCCGAAGTTTGGCGACCAATGAAGACCTTCTCATCATCTGATCATCCCTAAATTTAGAGACATTATAGAGGAGACAACTAGTTTTCCAATGCAATTAACAATGAAATCAATTCAACGGTTAGATCTCCAGATATTATCAATGCACTAAAGGTGAAGCAACACAGTCCGGAAGGTGAAGTAGCTCCCACCCGCGGCTGAAGCCTCTTACACCGCGGCTGCAACATCCTCACCTGCGGTGGACTCATTTCCGAGCCTCAGAAACCTAACTCAAGGCTTAAGTCACTTCCTTCACTTATTCTACAAACCCTAGACGCTCAGAGAAGAGGAGAGACTATAAATACATTGTCTTTAGGTATTTACAACTTAGTCTCTTTCATGCTTTAGATAGAGTACTCATTTTTGGGTTTTGGGTTTTAGGGTTTACTTTAATACAATTGTAGAAGGCTTTCTCGCCAACTCTGTCTTCAATAAGAGAAGGTTTTCTTCATCCTTTATCTTTTTACTTTACTGATTTTTCTATTTCAAAACCAATGATGATGTTAAGCTCAGCTATGTATGAGTAGTTGCCTTGTTGGGTAAAGGGCCATCAAAAGGGATCCCATGATCGAAAACATCTAGGTTTTTTAGATTAAGGATTTTATTTTAAAAAATGATTCTCTCCTTCATCCTGATCCTAATGTTGTATGCTGGATTGATTACCTAGCATTTAATCTAAGGTTTAATCAGAGCCACGACAGTGATGTATCAGATTGCCTGATCTGGATCTTATGGACATGACCATCATAGGAGACGAAAGCTACCTACAGAGGGGACGTGAGCCGAGATGAATTCTGTTTAGTTAATGCATGATCTCTCTTGTGGCAAGAGACAAAAGCTACTTGTCGAGTTTGAGTGATTAGATGATTAGGGTAACGACAGTTGGCTATTCTTACCTGTGTCTATTGTAGTTCCAGAATCATAGAATATCCTTTTCTAAATTCCATATGTTATAGATCATAAAACCTAGAGATAAACCCTAATACCCAGCGCCTTTAATCTATTGTTGGACAACCTTTTTCTTTTGGGTTTTTTTTTATTTCTTGCTTAGTTTAGTAGAATTAGTGACACACAAAACCCCTTTTAATCTGATTAGGTCTACAAATGTTTTTAGCATCAGTTAGAAATACTCAACACAAAAATCCATGTGAATCCGATCCCTAAGTACTGCTGCGTTTGCTGTGAATTTGCAGCTTGTTTAGGATAAAGCTTGTAGTTTCCCACTGCACCCACATCAAGCAGTTGCACATATAAATTATAAGGCAGCCACCATATCACCCAACAAGATGTGTACCATCAATCAAAACCACGGGTCTTAAGTACCTCAATCTAGCAAGTGAGGAAGCATACGAGATGAATAGATACTTGAACTCTAACAACCATTTTTTTTCCACCACAAACTGTGCTTTGCAAAGAGTTCAAGGGTTAGAGCTTTGTAGATTTTCCAGATAAGACGGCAGCAATGGATAACTGTCAGACACTGATCCAAAACCTTCTCAAGTGCAACTTCCCTGCATCTCCATGCCTTCCAATAGGAAATATTCACCTGGAACTCCTGAAGCATGATCCGTTGAATCTCAATTAGATCTGGTCCTTTTTGCCCTACCATAAATTTTTTTTTGTATTAGCTCCCCAATAACCTGCGTAGTTGCTTGCTTGTGGTATTGTTGGCGATCGTCAGTCGGGCATGCGTGTTCCAGGTTCGCCTTTTAATCTGGAAGTTTCCATTTGCATCCATGCAGGAAGCGTATACGCGCTAAGAACACGTTGGATTAACGCAAACAAACTCTATGTATCTCATGGTTGAACAAGTAGTCTTGAAGTTGTTGAATATGCGATTGATTGCATGAATTGTCATTCCGATTTTGCACTTCACTTTGCTTCTGAATATCTGGGCTACAAAAATCTCATCTCCCCCATAGTGAACATCTCTCAAATCACTGTTTATTCATGTAAATGGAGGTAGTCGGCTTAAGTTATATTTGAAAAATAGACAACTATGCACATAACGGACTACATATATATTCAATTACGTACCATCTTCTGGAATTTCATCCACTACTGGCAGAACATCCCTTCGGAACATGGCCAGGGTCTCTTCGGTTTCAGTGAAAACACTATTCATCGTCTCCGCTGCCCAACTAAACCTAACCGAAGAATGACTACATTCACCTCTCTCTCTAGGCCTTCACCATCCGCTACGAAGCCGGATTCGTAACGGTTTTCTTTAGCCTTCCCTTTCCGTTAACATTTACAGATATCACTGTCTTTTCTAATTGTTTCATCCACTGCAAAATTATGCAAGGCTTCATCGTTGTTTTCAGAAAATTCATCATCACATTGGTCAAACTCAACCTCCTCACCTTCAAGACAGATTACAACCAACTCATCCAGCTTCTCACACCCTTCTACACAGCACAGAAATATTTGAACAAGAAATAACTATTTTTCAAGATAAATAACTATCTCAATTTAGTCTACCTTTCTAACATAAATTCCTTCAACTAATATGAAACAACATAAAAAGGTAGATGAGTATGACTGCACAATCGTTAACTCTTATAAATGAAGTAGTCAAATATTACTAAACCATTTACAAATTCCACATCATGAAGTAGTTCTTTATCACCACATGTGAGTACCAAATAACCATATATGTTGTTGGGCCGAAATTATTAAAGCCTAGTAAGGGTGAAGAGGAAATGAAGTGAGTGTGTAAGTGGTGTTGTCCCACATTGATGGATTATTGGGAAAAGCTCTAGTATATATTAAGAGTTGTTTCATACATGTTTGAATAACATGTGAGAGAAAAGAGGAAGCCCCACACGCGAGCCGCCGCCGCCGCCAAGCCAAGCCGGGCCGAGCCGGGCTGGGTGCGAGTGCGGGTCGTGTTGGTCGAATGGGCCTTCGGGCCTAAGGCGGGTATTCTTTTTGGGCCATATTTTTATGAGCGTTTGGTCAACGTTTTTAAGTTGACTTTCTGCATATGTTTTTGATTCAGTCAAAAGACTATTGGATATTCATTATCCCCACAAAAACGTAACAGATTGTGATTAATCACATATTGCTGATATTTCGCCTTTGACTACGCTAAATTTATGGCCGAGATTCGTGTTTTACTGGCGGATTTTTTGGAATTTTTGGAGATTGCTCAAGTCTCTTCCTCCGCTATATATACACGACCTCTTCTTTCATTTTTCATACTACACACCTCTCATTTTCTTCTCTGAAATTTTTGCAACAGTCTCTCTCCCTCTCTTTCTTTATTTTTCGTAAGTTCTCTGCCAAGAGTATAGTAGAACTAGTTCGTTTAGATACGTGTCTCTTAGTGCTGTTCAAAACGGATAAGTTTGGTTGTATATATCCTCCGACTCTTGGATCACAAAAACTCGTCGCACGACGGGCGATTCAAAGAGTTAAGGAAAGAGATCATAGTCTCGCCTCCACTCGTTTCTCTTTACCTTAACGTTTTATTTAATCTCGTATTTCAATCGCTATTTTGTAGTGTTTGATTTATTTTGGTCCTACATTCTTAACTCTTTGAATACGTTCTTGTTATATAAACATTGAATGGATTGATTACGAGTATTTTCTTCAAACGTTATTTTTTATTTTATTACTCTCCATCTCTAATCGTCACCCACCTGTGATCAAACTCTCATTGGAGGTTTAAAATAAAAAATTGCATGGTTGTGGTGCTTATCGACCTTATTTGATAGCGATTTGAGTTGGATTTTAGAAATATTATACATATAATATTTATAATTGTATTCTTTTAAACTCGTTTTTATTCTGAAAATTCTGCTGAGTATACATATTATATCTGCGGATTGTACTTTGTATACTTCTTAAAATCGTTTCTAATCTGCGGAATGTGTTTCTTTTCAGAAATGGAAAACGAAACTCTAAATGTCTCCTCAGTTGATCAGACTACCACTGTTGGGACTGAACAGATCCAGTTTGGGACTTTCCCACCAGTGAATGTGGTTATTCCACCTCCGATCTCTGCTATGTCCAAACTGCGGTTACTGGACAGTATCAATTGGTTCAGATGCCAGCGGTAACTACAGTAGCTGTCCTTCCCGACAAGTTCGATGGCAGCAACTTTAAGATGTGGCAGAAGAAGATATTCTTCTATCTGGCCATACTTAAGCTGGAGAAGTACACCTGTGAAGAGAAACCTATTCTCTCATCAGATAATGATGATTCTTATGCACTTGCGAGCTAGTTAGCATGGGAACACGGAGACTTCTTGTGCAAAGGATACATTCAGTGTCGTCTTGCTGATGCACTATTCAAGGTGTATAGCAATGTTGAGACGTCTAAAGAACTATGGGATTCTCTAGACAAAAAGTATCGCACGGAAGATGCTGGATCTCAGAAATACGCTGTGGCAAAATTTCTAAATTACAAAATGGTGGATTCCAGACCAATAATGGATCAAGTGGGAAAGGTACAAACTCTTCTCAATGATCCATGCTGAGGGGATGAGGCTGTGTGAGACCAATCAGGTCGCATGCATCATTGAGAAGCTTCCACCTCATTGGACGGTCTTCAAAAACTATCTGAAGCTGAAGAAGAAGTGGATGAGTCTAGAAGAGCTAACCATGAAGCTCCATATGGAGTCAACAAACCGAAAGAACCTCGGAGTAGGTGTGGAAATTTACTAACCCAATACGAATGTTGTGGAACACCAACACAAAGGGCGCCAGAACAAAGGACGCCAAGACAAATGAAAGGGCAAAGTACCACCACAGAACTCACAGAAGATCAAAAAGAAGAAATTTGGTGGTATTGAAAGCTCACAAAAGTTCGCTGGAACATGTCACAATTGTGGCAAGACAGGCCACAAATCCTTTGAGTGCCGCAGCAAAAAGGCTCCAAAGAAACATGAAGCTAATCTCGCCTATCCAGACATGTGTGCGATGATCACTGAAGCAAATGTTGCTAAAAGCCATCCCAAGGCTTGGTGGTTCGATACTGGTGCAACCAGGCACATTTGCTTGGACAGGTCAATGTTCTCTGCCTACACCAAGAACAAGAGTTATGAGAAGCTATTTATGGGAAACTCTGTGACATCAAAGATTGAAGGTTATGGGAAAGTTGTTCTGAAGCTTACCTCTGTACGTGAGCTCACCCTAACACATGTGGTCCATGTGTCGGACATGCGCAAGAATTTGATCTCTGGATCTCTCATGAGTAAGCATGGATTTACCAATAAGTTAGAGGCGGATAAGCTGGTGCTATCCAAGAATGGGATGTATATGGGGAAAAGGTTTGTTACTGATGGTCTTTTTAAGAAGTGTGTTGAAGCTGTTCGCAGCGATGTTGTAACCGAGGCTTCCACCTCGAAAATGAATGAGAATAAGAAACCAGTTGCTTATATGTCTGAGTTTTTTACTTTATGGCATGAACGTTTAGGACATGTTAACTTCAAAACTATGAGTAGATTGATGAACATGAATATGATTCCTAAACACAAAATAAGTAAAGACAAATGTGATATTTGTGTTCAAGCTGAACTCAGTAAAACACCATCACCTAACGTGGAAAGAACAACTGAACCTCTAAGTTTAATTCACACTGATTTATATGACTTAAAATATGTGCAAAGTAGAGGTGGGAAGAAGTATTTTGTAACCTTCATAGATGATTGCACAAGATATTGTTATGTATATCTACTAAGCAGTAAAAATGAAGCTTTGGAGAAATTCAAACAATATAAGTAAGAAGTGGAAAACCAACTTAATAAAACTATTAAAATAGTTCGAAGTGATAGAGGAGGAGAATATGATGAACCTTTTAATGCGTTCTGTAGGGAACATGGCATTATTCATCAAACTACCGCTCCTTATTCACCAGAGTCCAACGGAGTTGCAGAACGAAAAAATAGAACTCTAAAAGAAATGATGAATGCAATGTTGCAGGAATCTGGGTTACCCCATAACATGTAGGGGGAAGCTTTGCTTACCACAAATTATATCCTCAACAAAATACTGATAAAGTTACGGGAAAAACCCCGTACGAACTTTGGAAGGGAAGATTACCTTCGTATAAAAACTTAAAAGTGTGGGGGTGTCTAGCAAAAGTTGCAGCACCACCTCCGAAAAAGGTCACAATTGGACCTAAAACGGTAGACTGCATTTTCATCGGATATGCTCATAATAGTAGTGCCTATCGATTTCTGGTACATAAATCAGATATACCAGATATTCATGTGAATACAATAATGGAGTCAAGAAATGCTTCATTTTTTGAAAATGTGTTTCCATGCAAGGATAGAGAAAGAAATAAACGATCTCGTGATCAACGAGATGCCTTTACTTCTGGAAATGGAGCAAGCACTTTGGGCACTGCTATTAATGACGAGGAAAAAGAAGAAGAACCTAGACGGAGTAAAAGAACTCGTAAGGAAAAAACATTTGGTTCTGAGTTCTTAGTAGTTTTCCTAGCTGAAAATGAACCAAGAACATTCACAGAAGCAATGTCAACGCTAGATGGTCGTCTTTTTGGAAGGAAGCTGTCAAAGTGAGATGGACTTAATTAGACAGAATCACACTTATGAGATAACCGATCTACCACAATGGTTGAAAGCTCTAGGGTGTATATGGATTTTCAAAACAAAGTTGAAAACCGATGGATCGATAGACAAGTACAAGGCTAGGCTTGTAGTGCAAGGATTTCGACAAAAAGAAGGTCTAGATTTATTTGACACATATTCTCCGGTAACGAGAATAACTTCAATCAGAATGCTGATTGGAATTTCAGCACTGATAGATCTAGAAATGCATCAAATGGATGTGAAAACCGCATTTCTAAATGGTGATTTAGAAGAGGAAATTTACATGAAACAACCTGAAGGGTTTGTTGTCCCAGGACAAGAAAACAAAGTTTGTACACTTGTTAAATCATTGTATGGACTTAAACAAGGTCCAAAACAATGGCATGAAAAATTTGACAATGTAATGATGTCAAATGGTTTCACCATTAACGAATGTGATAAATGTATATACATCAAATTACTCCTCATGGGTATGTTTTGCTTTGCTTATACGTTGATGACATGCTCATTATTGGGAGCAATAAAGACATGATCAATCGAACTAAAAATTTGATAAGTAGCAAATTTGATATGAAGGACATGGGATTAGTTGATGTGATTCTAGGAATTAGAATTATAAGACACTCGGATGGAATAATCTTGTCCCAAGAACATTATGCTGAAAAAAATACTTGACAAAAAATTCAGGTGAACCAGTGTCACAGGTGGAATATGCAAGGGTGATCAGAAGTCTTATGTACTTAACAAACTGTACGAGACCCAATTTAGCGCACTCAGTAAATGTACTTAGTCGCTATACAAGTAATCCATGTCATAATCACTGGAAGGCCATAACTAGAGTATTGAATTATCTTAGATACACCAAAAGTTATGGGTTGCACTACGGTAAAGAAGCAGCAGTCTTAGAAGGCTATAGTGATGCCAACTGTGTTTCAGATTCTAAGAATTCGAAATCAACAAGTGCATATGTCTTTAAACTTGGTGGTGCAGCAGTATCCTGGAAATCTTCCAAACAGACTCTGTTGGCCAGATCAACCATGGAATCTGAGTTTATAGTACGAGACAAAGCCGCAGAGGAAGCAGAGCGGCTTCAGAATTTTTTGGAAGATATCCCGCTGTGAAAAAAGCCAATGTCCGCATTACGTGTACACTGTGATAGTCAGTCGGCTATATCTCGGGCACTGAATAAGCTATATAATGGTAAATCTCGTCATATTAGAAGACGCCATAAAACCGTTAGACATTTGATCTCGACTGGTGTACTCAAGTTAGACTACATCAAATCAGCTGAAAATCTAGCAGACTCGTTTACAAAAAGTATGGCGCGAGATCAAGTTGTTAAATCATCAAGAGGAGTGGGTTTAAAGCCTATAGATAAAAGTGACGCCTGATGGTAACCCTACCTATGTGACTGGAGATCCCAAGATCTAGGTTCAAAGGGAAAACGAAATCAAGCGGATTCAGAAGTGAGCACTGTGAAACTATGCTTGTTCCCAGTTCCTAAGATGATAAACAGTGCTACCTGTGAGTGTTAAGGTTAAGCTGTAGCTTTTAATGATTCCATAGTTTTGAGATATTCGTAAAGTACTACAGGTTACTTCTTAAAAACAAAACTAATGGCAGATCACCTAATGAGTGTGAAATGGGGCCATTTCTAGGACAATGAAAGGAAGGCTATATTCTCCAAGTTCACTCATGAAACCAGGAATGTTCAAGGCCAAAATGATCACAATAGAGACCTCAAGTTCTACGAGAAAATGTTGCTGTGCGATCACTGTTGTCTCGGTTTACATCAAAGTATGGGTGGTTCAAGACATCATGTACATGTCCTGGCCGAGTAAACCCGACAAATATTAAAAATGATGGGTTCAAAGCTGAAAAATGCTACCTCTCAGATACATTTGCATTTTCGCATACTCTCGGAAGTCTGTCTAGTCTAGTCAGAGTCGTGTCTAGTCTAGTCGAATTAAGTTTTATCGAGTCAGTTGAGTCTTCATATGTTTAGAGTCATTTCTCTTCATGTGGGGGACTGTTGGGCCGAAATTATTAAAGCCCAGTAAGGGTGAAGAGGAAATGAAGTGAGTGTGTAAGTGGTGTTGTCCCACATCGATGGATTATTGGGGAAAGCTCTAGTATATATTAAGAGTCGTTTCATACATGTTTGAATAACATGTGAGAGAAAAGAGGAAGCCCCACGCGCGCGCCGCTGCCGCCTAGCCAGGCCGGGCGCGGGCGCAGGTCGTGTTGGTCGAATGGGCCTTCGGGCCCAAGGCGGTATATTTTTATGAGCGTTTGGTCAATGTTTTTAGGTTGACTTTCTTCATATGTTTTTGATTCAGTCAAAAGAATATTGGATATTCATTATCCCCACAAAAACTTAACAGATTGTTATTAATCACAGATTGCTGATTTTTCGCCTTTGACTACGCTAAATTTATGGCCGAGATTCGTGTTTGACTTGCGGATTTTTTGGGATTTTTGGAGACTGCTCAAGTCTCTTCCTCCGCTATATATACACGACCTCTTCTCTCATTTTTCATACTACACACCTCACATTTTCTTCTCTGAAATTTTTGCAACAGTCTCTCACCCTCTCTTTCTTTATTTTAGTCCTCTTCCGAGAGTATAGTAGAACTAGTTCGTTTAGATCCGTATTTCTTAGTGCTGTTGAAAACAGATAAGTTTGGTTGTATCCTGTGACTCTTGGATCACAAAAACCCGTCGCACTACGGGCGATTCAAAGATTTAAGGAAAGAGATCATAGTCTCGCCTCCACTCGTTTCTCTTTGCCTTAACGTTTTATTTGATCTCGTATTTCAATCGCTATTTCTTAGTGTTCGATTTATTTTGGTCCTACATATATTACTCAGATAATCATGTTTCACTTAGATAAACATTACTAACCCGTTTACAAATTTCACATCATGAAGTAGACTACTTTATAACCATATATGTTTACCAAATAACCGTATATGCTACTTAGATAATCATATTCATTAGTAATCGACTACTAGTTATGGAATATGAATACTTTACAAAACTTACCATCATCGTCTGCGTCATCGTCTTCTGAGTTTGGAAGAAACACCAGAGCCGTCTCATTCAAATGATCAGCCACATTCAGAGTTGTCTTCTTCACCCTCTGAGAGACATTCTCAGTCACATATTCGTCCACCATTACGCATAGGTTTAGTTGGTCTATCTCAGACCGCATTTCCGCCAAAAGTAAAACATCCTCGTCGCAGCGAATAGAAACTGATGGTGTGTCTTTTCCATTATCCATTAGCATGTTTGTGAGAGCAATGACCACGTCTTCTGCTATTTCCATTTTCTCTTTTACGACTTGCACCACCTCCGAATACGTCATTCTTGCGCTTAGGAAAGCACCTATGGTGTTCCTTTTTTTCAGCCAGAGAAGTCCACACACCATCGCACCCTTCAAACTATTCTCCAATCACGAGGAAAACATTCTGTCTTCCAACCATCTGTATCTCGATAGTTTTGTACAGTTACTAAATAGAACAAGTAATACAATCTCAAGATAGGCAAAATTTATACTAGGAAGTAGACAAACCTTTTTTCACCTCCGAAATGAGAAGGGGCGGTCTATAAAATTGTTGACTGGCTATTTATTTGATCAAAGAAGAGGTCCCTCAAAATTAACCTAGTATGATACACGATTATCGATGATTATAAAAGTTATGAATGTCATTGTCGAAAGTAAAGGCTAACGTATGAATGCCATTGTATAAAATAGATGCTAGTGTTGTGAATTATCTAAGAATTGAAATTTATGTATTGTGTCAGAAAAAGCAACGTTGGAGAGAAAGGAGCAAGGGGTTTACTGTAATTTTCTACCATTTTTTAGTTGACTATTGCTATGGATTGAATTGATTGATTTTGGTTGCTAATTACCTAATTCGGTCTTGAGAAGATGCTATTCTTGCAAATCATTCTTTATTCAACACGTTGAAATATGAGAAAATTGAGTCCACAGCATCACATAGTCCAATTAAAAGCGCGAATATTATATAGATAACTTCTAAACGGTTTAAGTATATCGAGATGATAAAAAAGATTATAAATGGACACGTGTTGTTTTTTGATTTGACGTTTTGTTTTCTGAGATTATTATGTCATCTAATCATCAATTTAACTTTTTTCTACAACTATTATAAATTGAACACTCATGATGAGAATTTTTATAACTAAAAACAAAAAAACTGTAAAGTTCAGGAATTTTATTGATAAAAATCTCGATTGTTAGAATTTATAATAGGTCAAAAATGGATCGAATGCGATGGAATGCCAATCATCGCATCTGCTTTGTTTATGCGGTTGAACAGCTTGGTGGAATTTATCGTAAGTTTTTTTTCTAGTTTTGTATGATTTTCCAAAATAAAATCAGGAAAATCATTAAACAGATTGCTACCGGAATTATCAAATGTTGTTTTCAATTTATCATTAGATACATATCCTTTTCAATTTTCCGATTAGACAATTCTCTCTATATTCTCTGTTTTTGTTTTGTGTGATATCATCATATTTGTTAAATGATGCAGCGTATCTACGTCATTCCTTTTCTGTTTTGGCTTTGGTTTTTAGTTACATTCCTTTTCTTTAAATCTTTTCCTTTCTTTAGATAAACTTTGATTTATTCCTTTTCTTAATTGCTTTAGGGTTTTGCTTTACTATAAGTATAGTCGATATCTCAACTTGTGAGAATACGACTTATTGAATTATTAATCTAAGAAGCACTTTGCTCTCTTAAACCTCTTGCTTTCGGCTAGAACATCGGTTCTCAACGAACTCAAGATCGTGTATTTCGTTTGGGCATTCGCATACTAAACAATCGAAATCACAAATCCTATCGGTTACTATCCTTTGCTCTATCATTAAATCCGGGGATTGGAAAAATTAGGTGGATAATGTTTTTTATATATAAGAGCCACATAACAATCCTAGATCTAGAGTTTTGGGCTAAACATTATTTTATTTTAATTTAAATTCAACTTGTATTAATCATCGTAAATGCAGAAGCAACTCCTAAAAGAATTTTGGAGGTAATGAATATAGGAGGACTCACTATATCACATGTGAAGAGCTATCTCCAGGTCTGAAAATATATATATGATATATTCATAAATTGCATCATTTAATGTACATATTCTAGTCCAAATCATGTCTCATTTGCATGCATTTTAGGTCTTTAAGCATTGTTTTAGGACTTAGGAGATTGCATTAGGTCCAAGAGAGTTTTGCATGTTTTGGAGTGTTAAACAGGTGCTTTTGGAGTTTATTTGGAGTGGAGGATGTGATTTAGATGAAGAAATGGAGTTGAACTTATCAAAAATGGTGAAAAGGAGCAATTTTGGGTTTCTCGGCAAAATGATGTACTGATGGCCGAAGATTCTCGGCCAAAATCCTTCCCGCGGGTAGCTTTCTCGGCCAAAAACACGTACCGCGGTCAAGTCTCTCGGCCAAAAATCTCGGGTGCAGATACATTTCCGAAATCGCGTCACCGGAAGCTCTTGCCGGCCGATTCAGCTTACAGGGTCTTCAGAAACGATGGAGATAACTGAGTCAAGAACCCAGGACAGGTTGAATCAGGGCAATTGGAGCACTGAGCTGAAAGATACGGTCATCGGAAGACAGACCTCTCTCGCATCCATTCCGGAGCAATCCGATACTCCTGAATGACCGCCTGTCCGGGGAACCTTCCGGTCGGATTCAGTTGTCAGGGGCTTCATCAAAGTTGGAGAAGATTGGATCATGGTTCCGGAGCAAGTGGAATCATGGAATTTGGACGCGTGAGCAGAACGTTAAGCTCGTCGGAAGAAACTCCTGTCTCGCTGCCGTCTTGGACCGACCCGATGAGCTCCGACGAATGCGACGGACGGCGCACTTCCAGGCCGATTCGATTTACGAGGCCTTCATGCGAATCAGAGATATTTAAGTCCTGTTTTCAGAACGTCCAAGATCATTCAATTCGGAGCTATGAGCAGAAAGATACGGTCTCCGGAATGGACACATGTCTAGACGTCTCTCTCTGATCGTGTAAATGCATTGCAAAGATGAGCCCTCCAGGAAGCCTTACACTTCCCAAGCACCAAAGCTTCCT